TATAATAATTTTCGCTTGTTAGTTATTAGGCATAAGTATAATATTATGATACATTGATGATTGATAGTTGATACCTAGGTACGTAGGTGGTATACAAGACGTATTATAATACTATTGTATAATTAGTAATTATTACTATTATAGTTATAGCTAGTGCGGGGCCACACCGGTATCGTCATTCTATAGTTCTTTGGAAATGCCTGTTTATAGAATGTTCAATGTGGGCATCAGTTTTAAAATATTTTCCCATGACATTTTATTCACAAATTAACTATAATTTATTATAACTTACTAGTAATTGATTATTTTTTACGTTAGCTTTATTCAATGTATCTATCAGTCTAACGCATATGAGTATATTATGACAAAAAATATTTAAATTAGTTTGCACCAAACCTTTATTGTATTTAAGTAAATACCACAAAGTAGAATTTTAAGTAGAATCGTAAATATATAATATTATATATATATATATATGTATATTTATAATTTATACGTGTATATTTTTTTTATTATACATTGTATTTTTAGTTTTTAATATTTTTATTGTATATATTAATAATTCAGATGGGTTGCATTCTTGTGTATCGGAACGACAGCCCATGTTATTCGAAATCTACATATTTAATTTAGATGGTCTCCGAGGGATATTTTAAAAACCAAATTTTTTTTAACTGAATATTAAACTCGAGCGATATACAAACAAGCTTATTCATCATGGAATGTTTATAAAATAAATATTTCATTTCGAGTGCTCTTAAATATTTAAAATTTAAATGTCCCTATTGAAATACAATAGTATAGGACATAGGTACTTGGTCGGGACTCGGGGTATTGGGTTTTGACGAGTTTGTTTGTTATTTTCATGTTTTACAAAACTCATGAACCACGCAAGACTTATATTCCTCAACGAATCTCAGCATAGTTTTCATTATTACAGGTATAGCACAGCTTCTCGAAGTCAGACACTCTCGTACAACTCCAATAACATTGGTGCACTATATAATTATAATATACATGTACATATAACATTATTACCATTGGCAATTCATTGGCCATTTATACGGTCGATTCGGGGTCAAAAAAAATACATCAGACCGCGTTGGTTTCGTTTTCGTTTTGCCCGAATCCAGGTCACACGACAAAATATCACGATCCTCTTCGAATGGTTACAATATAACCCTTAGAATGATGTTATTATTATTAGTATTCACGTTCTTCGCTCGTATACATTTGCGGTGTCCTTGTACTGCTTCTGTAAAAAAAAAAAAAACGATTTTTCAAAAAGACCCCCTTTCCTTGCGACTACCATAAAAAAAAAAATAATGTTTTGTCGCAGACGACACGGTTAATTGCCTATAATGGGCGCATTAAACTTTACTATAGACCGCCTTTTAAAATATTTAACGCGGTGAGCTATATAGGTGATTAGTGGGCGCACTAACGATTCGAGAAAGAGAGACGGTTTATTTAATACGATAACCTCTAAACTTTTCTCGTAAAACTGCCGCTCCATGGCGTATTGTCATAAATCTCTGAGCAATATTGATCGTTCGGAATCCATCACAGACACGTATTGTACATATTAATATATTATTTTAAAATATAAACATATAACACACTGCCGTGATGTATTATTGGCAATGACTTCAATAGGTTTTTTTTTATTATTATTCTTTTTCATTTTCGCCTTCTCATCGTCCAGATGGATATTAGGAAACCATCGTTGTCCGTTAAAATTTCGTTTTCTATTTCGTTCCAAAATCACGATCGATTGGAGTGGTCCAATTAAGTGCAGGCGACTATATTATATTCGTATATATTTACAATACTAATCATTACGGTCGCTATTGCGAGTTGGTATATATTATAATATCTTTGTGCGTTCTGTCTCTTTCGTTTCCATATTGGTAATTATTTTTTTGGTCGTTCACTTTTTTTTCCTTCCAATTTTACAACGCTGTGCGGGATGTGTAATCGTTGCGCAAAGACAAATAATTGTGACCCTGAATAATGAGCCATAAGTCAGTCAGCTTTAATGTCGTAAGGCGATAAAAATGTACATATTACACGCATTAACATTATAATAACAACCACTTTCAAACACTCCATCGCATATTATACAATAGTGGCATATTACAATATAACATAATATTCTACCCGGGACAATCATCGGGTGTGTTGTGTACTTGTCTGTGTAATGTGTATATACGTACACGCCAGAGCCGAGTATAGAATAATGTCTTATTTTATAAATAATAAAATACATACACTGTACATAAGTGGATACCGCATTTAAGTTTTGACTGCACACACAGTCATCATCAGTATATTACATCGTTGCTATCCATGAGCAAGCACTTGATTTGTTATTTATCATAACGGACGAGTTTGGTAAAACTTAAAACTATGTGCCAACTCTTCCTGTTTATTTTATGATTTCGGTGTCTGACTATAGCTGGTAGGTAGGTAGGTACTATACTGTATGTTTTCCACCAGCTCTTATCGTTTCCATCGCGTATGCCCACTACAACCATTACGGTTTTGTCAAAACACTTGTCGTGTTATTACGATTATATTATAATATTATATTTTATACCTGTCACTGTTGATGATCTTGTAAAATGTATGTTATTATTGTTGTGATTAACGCGAACGTCCCTTGATAATATAATGATTTCACTTTAAAATAAGAAAATTGCTAGAACGCGCAGTTCACCGGATATTCTTGTTAATTTTGGACCGTTTTGGACGTTAAACGAGTTTATTACACAATTTAACAATATTATTATAGTCTTACAATTATATTACGATTATGTTTATTTTTTTTTATTTTTAACGAAATAATTTTATTTTTTTATCTTCTGTGGCTCCAAGTGTAATATCTTTATTAGTGGCAGATTTAAGTACACTTTTGAGACTGAAGTTTTTTTTTTTAATTTTACTTGCTTAATTTAATTATTTTATGGATAAAAAACAAATAATTATCTTTGTTGTACCTACCCAATAATTAATTCACAAGACGTAATTTATTTCTCAAGCCCAATTATTTATTATTTTTTGAGTTATAGTATGACATTATCATTAAATTTATAATAATATTTTCATAATCATTAAAAAAAAAACTAATTACTAATATATTATTAAATATAATATGATTTATGAATTTTCCTATCTGTATTATAGGTTAAACTAGATTTTAACAAGAACTTAAAATAAGCCTACCTATATTTAAGTTATTTCCATATGTCTTGAGTTATAAGGTACCCACATAGGTATAGTGTATCAAGTGAAATAGACAGAAAATTATGCATTGACAAGGTACTTATTTAAATATTTACCAATAACCGTAGTATATGAATTTTAATGACTAATACGACATATCCCCTGTTTAAGCTATTGATGTCTGTGACTTGTGAAGTGAACTAAATTTTACATCATGCATTTCTACTAATGATTTTTTACTGCAGTAAATAATATGATCATCAAAGGACTGATTTGCCATTCATTAAAAAAAAAAAAATAAAACACAATTTTTTTTCTTCTGTACCTATTAACTGTTCCCACTCCGTTTAAAATAAGCCGTTCGTAGTTTGTAATAAGTAATAACTAATAACTATTGTATCAAAGTCTCGGAGTGATATATTCGAGTTTTTTTCTCTTCGGACATTTCCACGTGTTTATAATAATTATTATTTAAATGTTCGCCGTACATTGTCTGGATATTCTTGACGTTGAAAAATATTCCACCTAGACACATTACGGATTATGTTTAGTTTTCCGGTCAAATACCATTAATGCGTATAATAGGTAGGTACGCTATACGTAGTAATAATTACAATATATATATTGTAATATTATAATATAAAATTAAACGTCTAGCCACACATATGGTTTCAGTTGTTGTTTCACATGTATAGGTACATATAAGTACTTGAGATTTCCTGCAGTCGTAACAAAAACCGTTCAGAATATAATTTCCGTACTGAATATTTCTGACGATAATACATCCACCCAACACATTAACCGTACATAATATTATACATTCGTACGAAATTCGTTATGGCGGCGTTCAAACGTGTACACAATATTTATATACAATCGCGAACTCTGCAGGTGTGTAGCGTAGTGTACCTACCAATATATTTCTACAGCATAAATGTAGTTAGGTCTTAGGTCCTGCAAATAATTATATACATGTTATATTATATATTATATTACACCTATATTGATAAAACTACGTATCGGTTTCAGTATTTCCGACCAATAGGTACAGTACTCGTAATATATCTTATTACCTTCATAATGATAATAATATACTCGAGTATATATATTATAATAATATGTACGATAGTCGGCAGTGCTAACGCATTTCAAGCCCCGCGGGTCCGAGTTGGTGTACTGCAGTCTGTTGTAGTATATTATATATATATATTATATATATATATATATATATTGGAATATCCACCCACCCATCCACCCACCCATCCACCCACCGACATGCCGGTGCTGGTTTTCGGGGTAGAACGACTTAATGTGCTATTAAGACAATCACTCTACTGCCGTCTTCGCAAAATATAGCTATATAATATTATATTCGTATAGGTACATTGTAATATAGTCATATAGACGACTGATCGCCACACCCTCTGCATCTCATTTGTTGGTATGTGATTCCTGAAAGCCTATTTACGCACCTATATATATTATCTAGGTTCTATATTTCAGTATACCTACCTATATTATTTATTATAATGTACAGAATTCTTATTCTTATCATAATATATTTTTTACCTAAAATTATTATTTATTATGTTAAAAAAGTCACTAGGACAAAAAGTCCACCGAGTTTCGTCTGTATTAATAGCCGCAGATGACAATATTGACACACGAGTACATGACAACATGCTATATTAGGAACGGACAGAGTAAGAATACGGTATTATAACTAAAAACAGTTATAGAAGGATTAATCGCAAACATCAAAAGCTGGTGGAAAAATGGAAATTCGAATTAACGATTTGTGTCGACGTTTATTGCTGAAGGAAAATCAGATATTCCTAAATTTTGAACACGAACCCGTTAGTAAAAAATTAGTAAGCTATGTTTTTTCAATCTTTTATCGCACTATATCCCTTATCGTCGACTTGTATTTAGTTTATCGATATCATGCAACTTTATGGAGCAAATTTTCCGCCATTCCGCTGCTCGTTTTGGCCGATCGTGCTCTACTCGGTTATAAAAATATATACGACATACTAGTAAGTATCGTTTACGCTCTGACGTCAAAATTGTTCTGCAAATCTTCCGACGATGGATTCGTGTTTTTCTTGTCCGTTGGTCCGATGTGCCCCTGCACAAAACCTCATCAATCTGGATACCACGTGAGCCGTACTTTTTTATACGGTGTTTCATAAAAAAAAACAAAAATGTTTTATCACAAACCGTTGAAACGTCAACAGCGTGTAATTCGCGTGGACGCGGATCGTCTTATACTATTATAATATATATTAATATAATAGTATGATATAACACTCTCGGTAAACTAAAATATTATGTTACTATGCTCGCATATATATGCGTTATTGCGCGGACGTCATGTGGCGGTGGCGGCGGCGTCGCAGTTCTGTAATAAATAATTTCGTCGGTCCGACGAATTCCGACGACGATATAATAATACATATATAATATATATATCATTATAATATACGAGACCCGAGAAGTATGCAGGCGTACAATGCAAGTGGCGCGCGCGTACCCATAATAATATGGTATTATGATTGTTATTATTATTATTATTATTATTATTATTATCGTATAAATACGACTGGTAAAAAAAAAAACGAACCGAAGAAACCGACGAAAGACGTGTTGGCAATCAACACGCGCGCTTGAGTATCTACATAATATACTATATAAAATAATAAATAATAATATTATTATGTAGTAGCCGGATCGTCAGCCGATCCGTCAGCCGATTGTAATTATAATTTTTCAGTATCGCACACACACACATATATTATATAGATTTACAATATAATAATATTACAAGTCCTGTGGCCGGATCTATACATATATAGTTGTTATACTTAAACGTATTGGATGCTTATATATATATATCATCATAACCGAACGTGATTTATATATTATACGTCTTGTGCTGCGGAACGGGCCGGCCGACCGCAACGTCGGTCGATGTGATTTTTTCTTTTCCGCAGTCGTGAAGAATCCAAAAAGAAAAAATGTTTTCAAAAAAAAAATTGCCCCTCCAAAACTCTCTACCACCGCTCGGCCGTCGTGCTCCCTCGAACGCATCATCGCCGCCGTTCGACTATTACCACGTTCGTCATTACACTTCGTAGAGTATACACCATAATCTGAATAATGTAAAGTGTATTCCAAAAGTCCCATAACTCCTCCGTATGGTAAATCGATATCCGATGTTTAAATGCTGTTTTTCAATAGAACTCTATGAGAAGATTCCGATTTAAAAATAAAATTTAGAAAAAAAATTACTAAAATTACTCCTGAAAAGCACACATTAAAGTAGGTACCTACTTTGATTTTCCACGGAGATATTTAGGACGATACTGGGCTTTTGGGACGCGCTGTATATTATATTATTTTACATTTTAAGTCCTGCGGCGCACGCCGTCCGTCCGTTCATCTTTCACGCGCCGATACCGATGATTTTTTCTATATACCTACGGGTACATCATATAGGTACTTATGTTAGGTATAAAATATAAATGTACCTATATATAATACATATACTGTGGCCGGCGTGCTCTCGCCCAGCACATTATATAATGTTTAGGTACAGCATTTATGGGTACCTATATATAACGTCCTATATACGGATCCGGTCGGCGGAGCACAGTCGGAGGACCTTATGGGAAATTCGTGTCTGCCGATGACGACAACGCGTGCGTGACCGCGACGTCGTCCCCTACACATGAAATTGTACACAGGTGCGTGTATATACAGAGTGTTTCACCAAGCATCCTCGAGTTCCATTTTTGTTCTTATATAATGAATTTATTCAAGTTCTGATTTTTGGAACTTTTACTTATACAACAATATATACTACCTATAAGTACCTACTTAAGGGGCCATATTTTCAAATTATTAGATTTCTTTATAAAGTTCAAAGAGTGTCCCGTGGTGATAAAACTTTTTTTTTTCATAATAACTTACAGGAAAAAAATGTTGTAAGCCATGTTCGTATCGCTATAGGACACTACTAAAATTGGATAAATAAGAATCAAAGAATTGTAAATATTGTATTTTAGTAATAAGTCAGTATTTTATAAGTTCATTATTAAAGGAAACAATGGGCGTGCTTTGTGAATCGCTCTGTATACGCACTTAGTGCAAAGTATTTAGATACGCATTACCATCGTCCTGTCACTTCCCCACCACCACCATCCCATCGAGCACCATCGTTGTGGCACCGTCACGTGTCGTTTCCGTACCAGCCGAAGTTTTCGATCCGGAAATCTTTTCGGAAACCGCGTCCATAGTTCATATTTACCTTCATGTCCATGTACTCATGTGAGTCTGTATATATACGACACGCGCTTGTGCGTTCGCAGAGGATAGCCGAAATGTAGACGAGTTCTTTATATAATATGGTTTTCGATTTTTTTTCACTCTTGTGGAATCGTGATAATAATCATATTATATCGTTCCAATCGAGTTTAATGTATAATATACATTTCAATAATGCCATTTTTTTTGCTATACCCAGCGTTAATTTTATTTTCGGGTATCTTTTTAATATTTTTAAATTTATCGGTTACCAAAATCACTGAAAAATTAATGCTTTGAACACTGTCACGGTATGGGCAGAGAAATATCATGTGATTAAAGAAGACATGATAATGAAATTATTGATGCTTGAAAGAATTACTGAAAAAATGCTAGATAGTAATAAAAACGAAAAACTAACACAAATTAGTTGAAAACAATTATATTGAATAGGTATACTAAATAATTAATATGTATATTATACGGAAATAAATTAAAAATAATTCAATCGAAGTGTAATGATAATAAATGGATTTTTATTTTTTCTTGATTTCTGTAAATATCTAGTTTTTTTCGAGTATTATAGGTAGTCGCAGATACTATACAATATGTTGTCCCATATTATATAATATGTGTACGATTATCATCAAGTTGTAGTCTCAACCACCATAATTCATGAGTTTGATTGATGATACAGTATTTGTATATATAACAGTATTCAGTGATAATTTTAGATGAACGCAGTCATAACCATCAAAATATACCTTCTTCCTTCACTCTCGATGGCCACTTCATATTAGAATATTCTCGTGCTGCTGTAGTATAAACTGTAGGTACTCATCATCGCATTATATAAGATTCTTTCTTTTAAATCGTTGAACCGAAGTATACAGGATTTTATGTCAAAGGCCATACATTGCATATAATATAGGACGTATATAATAATATACAACATTGTAATATTATAAGAACCATTCCTTTGTCCGGTGTTTTTTCCTCCAATAAAATTCGTATTAATACGTTTACGTGTATACACATACCTTGGAAATAAACGTCTTCGTTGATAAAAAAAATATATATCAGGAAATAAACGTCTTCGTTGATAAAAAAAATATATATCAGTCACGCAAATACTTTATATTCATTATGTGCGAAATCCTTGAGAACATTTTTATGTATAGGCATAACGCAGTGTATAGTTTCGAAACGAGAAAAACCACATGTTTTGGACCCTTTTTTTTTTTATTGATTATCAACGCGTTACACGTAGGTATTATACCAAACTCTAATAGATTAGATGACACGAAGGTTTGGGTTATTATTATTTTTTTATTTTTTATTAATTTGCACTATATAATAATATTACGTTCAGAAAAGATTACTAAAATATAATACCTATATTATAATATATTAGTTACCTACCACTAATAGTACTCGTCAGTCAGTCGTTGCGGATTACTATAATTTATGGAAATCCCTTAAAATTTATATTATTATACCTTTTTTTTTTTTTATTGATCTTTAAAACCCGGCGACTATGGTCATTAGCTGATTGTGGGGTTTTATGTTTGTTGGTAGTAGGGTTTGTAACGGTAGGGTTTTTACACGTGTGTGTTGTGTTTGGCATAATTTTTGATTGGGCACCTGTAGGTATCTACCATGCCCGGGTGGGGGAGGCCAGCACGTGTTCTCCGGACACCGTGACTTGTCCGAAGAAAAATGCCGCCCGTGGCCAAGGAATCGAGTTCGGTTAGTCCACTAGACCACTCCGTCCCCCTATTATCATTATACGTACCTGTAACGTTGTTTAGTAGTGGATATTTTATATATTTATGCGGAGTACGACTGGCTGACGACGGTTTTGCGACAGGATGTGTGTATAGTATTATTAGTACAATATCCTTCACAGCGGCACGGTACCAAAATTAATAGTTTCGCGAGCATAGCTGCAGCAGTATGGCTGCATCAAGTGTCCGTGTCAATCCCTCGTCAGTTGTATTCAACAAAAATGTATAGCTCGGGTTTGTTTTTTTTTTTTGTTACAAACCGATGACTCCCACCTTATAGTAATAGCTATACGTCTATAGTGTAGGTTTTGTGTTCAATAATGTTTTACGGTCCATTCATTTTATGGTCTCTCTGGAGTACTCCTACCTATAATATAACATTATATTTTATCTGAATTACTTTCTAGGTTCTTTTTTACTTTCGACATTTTTACATTCCATAAATTTTGTTTTCAAGGTTCTCACACCGATTCTACATCCACGAGAGATAATAGCCCCGTGACTTACATAATATTGTATATTTTGTAAAATATTAACTCTGCGGTATAAAGATATGATACACATATTTTGTTAAAAATAAATTCGGGTTCAAAACGTTTGCTGGAGATACCAGTTAGTTTCGTTTGTACCCAAATAGTGTGGACATTTAACAATCTCTAAGTGGACTATAAATATTATAAGTAGATTAAGTGGAGTATATCGAGGCGCTTTAGCCAAAATAATAATTTTGGTGTTCGATACGAGCTGTACGATATTTTGACGAAGTTGGTTTCCTAATGATTTTTTATTACGTGATCGATTCAGACCTCAAACGCTATCCTTAATATATATTGTCCGCTTAATTGTGCATGTTTTATAAGCTACTGACAAATACAAATACCCATACAAGAAACGAACACTTAATGCTGTGTATTATGAATTAACTGACATCACTTTACTTGTTTAATCCTAATGGTCAATTAAAGGATTTCGTAACTTTGTTTATAATATCGTGAGAAACTCCATCGCGCCTTCTCGCGGTCTCGAAAGTTGGGACACACTCAGCAAAACCGTCGAATGACAACTACCTATAGCTATAATTACTATGCGCGATTACCAAA